TAGTGCTGTTAACGAAGTACTGATTAAGCTTCGGTAAAACAAAATGAAGCACAGATGCAGGATCCTCGTTTTGAAAATGCACATCTGTCATCTCTAGAAAAGGATTATGTAAGCTCTATTAGTAGGGGAGGAGTCCTGACAAGCTCAAAATAAAATAAATGAAAGCTTCAAACTGGTGCCTATACAAGCTAATAGGATTGGAGATATTTGCAAATATGAAATATGTAGTGTACAGAAAGTAGCATAGGACGTATGCACAGGCCATGGCCAGTTTGAATGTCAGGGCAGGTAAGCAGGTAAGGTGCACACAGAGGTTTGCTGAGTACTGCATGAGTTCTTATGCTAAATTTGAACACACACATTCACATTCACACATGAAAGAGATTTTTATGCTCATGGGACTTTGAGACTTCACATTGAGGCCGCCAGCAGAAAAACAGATTCCAAAGCTGCATTAATAGATTATTTTGAATCTCACATAGAGAAAATAAGCAGTACACCATCTTTGAGCAGCACAATGTTATTCAGAAGGTTTCTATTCCTGTTTGGGTTGGGTTTCATGCTGTATAGGGGGGGGGAATTCCAGGCACTCACAGCAGTGTTCTACCAGCCTTCAGGGCAGCACTTCCCACCCTGCAGCTGGTGCATACCCTGAGCTCCACCGACTCCATCAGCTGCACTTCAGGATATTCGTGGTATTGCATAGCGCTACAGTGAAGGGATTATCTGGACTGCAGTGATCTTGTGTCTTTATTTTTAACTTGCACGACCCCCAGAAGATTGATCTATGTGTTACGACTGGCTGTCATCAATGGGAACTAAGGGAATCAAAGAGAACTGTAGGAAACCTTGAGGCAGACAGGAATAACTCACAGGTGATTTGTTTCAGTTCTCATGTTAGCGATTATCCTCTTGCTTATGCCACAGGTTAAAAGGTTTATCTTTCATGCACACGAAGGCAGAGTCTTTTGTAATCCAGAGACTCTATTCTTTAAAGAAAACAGCTGAGATGTTTGGCTTTTTCTCCTCCTCTGAGCAATGCAAAGCATGTACGTGCACATCCATACGTCCACAGGATGCTTTCCTCTTGGTGTGGGTCTATCTATGTCTGCAGCCAGTGCCACTACAGCTCGAGAGCTTCTGCTGGACTCCACCATGTGCGGTGTAAAATGGGAATATGGTGAACTTTGAAGTTTAAATAACCTAATGAAGTCTGCAGTTCGTACTCCATATTTTTAGATTCCTTTAGATACCAAACTACAGACATGAAACCATAATTTGTGTTCATTTGCCTTAGTGTAGATCTTTAATCTAGACCTAGATCTCTCTTTGATCTAGATACAGATCTCTAGATCTAAATCTTTGTTAAGCCTTTATTTTGGAACATGTGATGGACAGAAAAGCTGCAGTGAGTGACAGGTGGAGACAGCAGCGTACCTTCCTGTGCCTTGGTCCTTCCAGTAGCACATCTCATGGAGCAGGCCAGCAGTTCACCAAGTGTTAGGCTCCCCTCGTGGCTGACACGCGTCCCGGTTTCCTCAGTGAGGCCTGGTAGGGTGGGTGATGGAAAAGGGGTTTGCAAACAGTCCCCTATCTGCTTTGTCTGTGGTGAGTTTACCTGTTGATGTCTGTTGTTCCCCCTTGTGTCCTCGATACTGATGACCCAAGGGAATCTAATTTTCTGTTGCTGTCAGGAGACACAGTGCTGAGGGGAATGCCTCAACACCAGACCCCAGTCACACGTTTGCCTTTCCTCCTTGAGTACTGTAAAAGATAGTTTGTCTAATTCCCTCTGAATCTTGCTGATGTTGCTGTGGCTGTGTGGTTCTGTTGTTACAGCTGATGTGGTTTCAGGTGTGTGCCAGAAAATCTCTGAAGGGTTCATCTATGAAAACAGTTCAGCTCATTATCATTTGGTGAATGCCCAAACTCCCTATAGGTTTTCTTTAAGTATTTTTCTCTTGTGAACAGTATGTGAGCAGCCAGGAGGGCAGGGTCAGAGGATCTCTCCTCGTGCACAGGCAAATGTGGCATCTGGTTCACACATACGCACTCTGTCTCAGTTCCCTGCTGTCCCATGATTGCATCAACTTTCCAGGCAAAGTGGAACTGGAGAGTCCTTCCTCTGCAAGTGGGATAGCATCCACACCAGTAGTCATGGGGCTTCTTTTGTGTGTGGGGTTCACAAACTGAATCTTACACAAGGAAGAGGAAGCTGAGCTCTATCTGCTATCTCCGAGGTGTGTTCAGCTGTTGTGTCAATGGGGAGAGATGCTTTGGCAATAGGATTGCTCACTTTGTATGAGAGAGGGCTTACACATCTAACCATGCATTGTGATTTATGGCTACAAATCCTGAGTAGAAGGGAGCACCTAGAAGCTGTCCCCTTGACTTAGCATTGCCTGCTAAGCCTTTCTGGCAAGACCCTGGTTTGATGTGCTTGAAGCTTTCTTAGATCTTTGCTCTCCCCATCCATGGAGATGTTCAAGGCCAGGTTGGATGGGGCCTTGGGCAGCCTGGCATTAGATGCAAAGGTTGGCGGCCCTGCCTGTGGCAGGGGATTGGAGCTTGGTGGATCCTGGAGGACCCTTCCAACCCAAGCCATTCTATGATTTTCATGTCCTCTACTCTTCACCATGGATCGGGAGCCCACAGTGTTGATTCAGCTGTGAAAAAGGTCCCACAGAGCTTTACAAAGAGGCATTGCTTTTCTAGGCATCCTTGTCAGTATGTGCTTGGCACTGCAGATGGTTGACGCATGTAACTTTATCCTTTAATTAGTGCTGTGGAGCTAAGGTGCTTCAGGTTGGTACTGGCAGGTCTTGAGTGTGTGGTTGTTAGGATCCTTCCCAGCTGGAGGCATACAGTGTGGCATCTGGGGTAAGTTTAGAGCTTTTCTTAAGCTGCTCTTGAACAAAGGCAGGCTTTGTTGAATGTCTGCCCAGCTGCTCTACCAGAGGAAGGCTATTTTACGTTGTCTTTGACTATCTAATTGGATTATATCTTTCAAAGAATTCTAACGTGCTATCCGTAAAGTACCTGCAGAAAAACTGGTCTGATTTGTTTGTTGGAATCAGAGGGATTTAGCTGTGTTTTCTAATAATTTTCCTTGTTCTCCTTGCAGCAGTAAAATGCCCTTGTCTGAAAGCCCACAACCCTTTTTGAGGGCTGCAGACTGGGCTCTGTCTCCACCCCCTTTGGCTCAGCCATTGCTGGCAGTAGCACAGGACATATTACCTCACAGACTTTCATTGGAACTTGACACTCCCTGGATTTCATTTATGTTTTCTTGGGAAAATACCTTCAATTCCTGCTTTGTTAATTGCAGTTTGTTATTCCTATCTCAGCCCATGCTTATCTCTCTTCTGGCACTTACAGCTTGGCTCCTTTAGAGGATGAAGCTAAATAGGTGTGGAGGACTTGCGGAAGTTCAGGGTTCTTTTTCTTTGGGCTAGAGTTGCATTTCAGTAGTGCCAGTAAGTCCCATGTTTGCCTCTGTCCTTCAATAAGAGGTGTCCTTGCTGTTGCTTGTTCACACTGGTAGATGTTTGTTGTTTTTTCTTAAGATCAGTGATGTCTAGAAGTTTTGGAGGTGTTGCCTTATGGTATGCTGTCTTGGCATTGATGAAAGTAATATAAATCCTGACTAGGTGTCAGCAACACTCTTGAATTTGGCTGAGCACTCTAATGGGCAGCCAGCATCCTTGGGAAGCAGAAGGCATTGCCTTCGGTTTTGTTTTTGCCAATGATGTGCTGTATGACCTCTGACAACTCTTTTCCCCCTCAGTAGAAAGAGGATACTGAGCCATCATTCCTTGCATAAAATGTCTTGGGATAGGTGTTTTTTTTTTCCCCCTATTTAATCAAAAGCAGTCAAAGATCCTGCAGCACTCCTGTGGAGCCTGGCAGAAATAGGACCACACCAGCATCTTTTGCGTAATCAACCTAGGAAACTTGGCCTATCTTTAAAACTTCTGATTAATTAAATATTCAAAAAACAATGTATGCCATCTATGCTAAGGGTATGCAGTGCTGGGTTATACCACTTCCAAATTGTTAAGCAGCATAACATATAGGACATCTATCCAGTCCTTGTATTTTGCGTGACAGATGAAAAAACGAATCAAAAGGTGGTATGTTACGGAAATGTGAGAACAATGCAGTTGCCCCAGTTAGGCTCTGCTGTGGTAATTCTTCTCCAATCTTTTCCTTAAACACAATTGATTGTGTCTAATTTGCAACAGGTTATGTTCCAACTAAATGCTCTATGAGTGTACATATTTCAAAAAGCTTTTAATCTAATAGCAGGTATGGCTAATTATGCCTGTCTTTGAGATTATTTGCCAAATTTGGCAAATTTATATCTATTAATGTCTTTTCTATGTGTAATGCAGAAGGATAAAGTGTGTGTAGCTTGGTGAATTCCTGATTCCCAGCAAGGGATTTTGATTATAATACTCACTAGTTGCCTTAAGAAAGGAAAAGCCCACGTGATGCGTTTTCCTACTGTTGGTACACGTTTGGATTAATGATTGGAGCCAAATGCAGTGGTTAAAAACACAGAGCACTCGGCCACGCTGAGGACTGTACCTGAGGCAGTGTAAGAACTCCCTGCACCAGCCTTGCTCTCTGTACCTAGCACACTCCTGCTGCTCAGCATGAAGAGCTGCTCATCCACCTCCTCCTGTCTACCCACACAGTATCAAGCACAAGCCCTGCCCTCTGTCCTGCTGTTGGACCACTTCCCAAACTGTTGATAACTTACTTATTTCTTTGCATAAACTGCGCTCTGGCCTGTCTGGCTGTAGCTCTTGAAAAGTCCTGTGTCTTTTTTCACCCAACCAGAGCTCTTTCTTGTTCAGAAAGCAGAGGGAAGGCAAGAGGTGCACCTTGGTCTAACTGATGGCTTAGTTTTGGAAAGAATTGCATTTCAAAATACTTCATGGGTTTTTTATTTTACTTTTTTATTTTATTTTATTTTATATATATTTTTTTTTCAGGTGCAAGGCCTGACAATGGCACTGAATGAGTACTGCCTTCAAGCCTCCTTCCTGTAAGTGATAGGACCAAACAAGGCGGTGTGATGAACATGCCACTGCATCAAATCTCTGTCATTCCAGCTCAGGATGTTACCTCTTCCAGAGTCTCCAGGAGCAAGACCAAAGAAAAAGAAGAACAGGTAGTGACAGATAAACTCAATTTTCACAGGAACTTATCTGAAGATAAAATGGTAGGGGTTACCAAATTAGATGTGATTCTGATACAGAGACCCAACTCGTTGCATGATTGTCGCTCTAAGTGAAAATGATTGTTAACCTAATTATTTCTCATTAGCGGTCTAATATTTGCCATTACAAAGCAGATGGCTCCAAAATGCACTGTCATGAAATTTGTAGCAGATGTATTTTCTTGAAGATAAGGCTTGTATTCTTAACTTGGGAGCAGATGTGTGAGTGAAATTTTTTGCGGTCTTCTGGTACTAATGAGAAATGGAATGCAAAAATATGGAAGTATCTAATGATTTCAAGCTTAAGAGAATTTAATTAATAGGCTGATTAAAAAAATAATTATTAAGGACATAATGTTGCTGGTCTTTGGGTATCAACTTTATTTAGACTCTGTGCTGTGCCTCTGGTCAAGCCGAAAGATCTTTGTGTGCATCATATTTTAGTTTATGCTAAAGCTGCAATGAATTTTGCATTATCTGCCAGTTCCACAGAAACCATTTCATGTTTTTTATCTTTACCCTAGCATAAAAGCAGTGCAAGAGAGCACTCACATTATGGAGCAACTGCAAGGGCAGGCTTGTTCTGTGAACTAGGAACATGTATTCAGCAGTGGTCAGATTCTCAGGAGATGCAGGAGATTCTCAGCACTCTTACAGGTTGGGCACACCTGAAGTATAAGGGACTGCAAAGGCACTGTCATGTTATAGAAAGGGATTCACTGAGACTAACTTTAGGTAGGATTGAAAGAAAAAGAAAGTTGTTTTGGATGTGTTAGAAAATTCTGCTCAGACTAGCCCTTCACCCATCGTCTGACCAGACTGCACCTACATAATTTTGTGGTTTGTCAGCAAAAAATCTATTGTCTCATAGTTTGGACATTTTGGACAATTTGGAGGCTTCATCTCATTTAAAGCTTAAAATGGATTGTAGTCCTTCACATTCTTAAACCAGCAGTTAATTTTCTGGATTCCTGAATCCAGGTAGACTGACTTGGCACTAGTTTTGGTTGCTGGAACCAGGCAGGAAGTTGTCTCCATAGTTGAGGTGCTTTAAGTCATTGGGTCATCTTGTCTCTGGAGTCCGCTGGAATCTCTTGCTTCCTAACCTACAGCGAGTAACAGCAGTCCACGAACGTGCTGGGCAGCTTTCTGGGTAAAAGGACTATTCTGTTGCTTCTTCTGGACTCCTCCCGTAAAGAAACACTGAGAGAGCATGAAGCAGTTCCCCTGTAAATACATGACAGTTCTCTGAATTGGCTACTCTCCAGTTAGGTCATGTGAATTAGGAGGCCGATCAGATTAGAAAGACCTGTGGTAACTGTTTGACCATGCACTGAGCCCAGAAGTGAGAGTCCCAAGTCTCTTTCCAAACCTTTCATTTTGTTTTCGACACAGCAACTTATAGATATAGGGTGCAAGAGGAAGAAATTGTAGAACATCATCAGCGTATTTTCAGTCATTTCAGACCACCTGTACTGTGTAGAGGTAGATACCACTGCAAGATAAAAAGTACAATTCTCTATTGAGCAAATTTGCTTAGCGGTTACAGATGGTTTTTTCCTGCCTTGGGTAACATCTGCAGTTCCAGAGAAAGACACTAGGTAAAACTAATAAAAAAAGTATTTGCACTTCAGTTTTGTAAGTTCATTTTAGCTTCAGTGCTCCTCTCTTTCAGTATTGTAACTTTCCATTGTGCAACACAGTTTGCAGTTACTTCTCTGTGTTGTGACTGGCCTGGATGCCATTCTTGCATGGATTTCTACAAAAATATGTAATGGATTTTTAGGAGAGACTGGAGCATGTTACAATTTGATTTAAGTACTTCAGTTTTCTTACCTTTTCTTTTCTGTATAATAAAATACTCCTTCTAATGGTAGTAAGCGCCTCAAGCCATTGTGTACACTGTGGTCTTAAAAGGTTTTGAGTTGTACAAAGCCACTTGCCAATCTGAACAAAATCAAACAAACCCCAAATAACAATCAAAGCCAATATTACCTTTTAAAAGATAATATGGAGGCTTACTGTATAATAGCAGGTTCTTAGACCAAGGGCATCTCCAGGTGTGTGCTTTGTAGGCTGAGTTGACTCTATACGCATCTGCCTTGTTTATTACCAAACTTGGCTAAAACCAAAGTGTATGAAAGTTGAATGTCAGCTAACAGATCAAAGTTTGACTTACTTTTATTCTTGTTTTGGTTTACTTTTCCTTTGGGAACTTGATATTTCAAACTAGACCATTAGCTTGTCTGTACCTGCATAACCCATTCAGAGAAAGAGCTCAAGAAGCACAGCAGTAAAAAGTGAAGCACCAATGTGCCTAAAGAGGAAACTTTGCCAGTCTTAGGAAAGTTTGTTTTTGATTTCTTCCCCAGAAGGAAAATGTTTTATTTCTTATTCTCCTATCTTTCATGAATACAGATCTGTTTAATTTTCCACATTATGCTTATAAGAAGTGCAGAGAGAATTTTCTCCAGCTGATCTGTATTTGCATTCTTTCTTGCTTCTGGTCAAGATGTAGCTTTGATATTTCAAGTTAAGGCTTGACTGATTTTAGTAATAGTTTTCCTTGCTACAAGAGCAAGTTTTCTGGACTAGTGGTTTGGGACTAACTGTGAAAAACAGCAAGAAATCCTTACCACCATTATTACACAACAGTTTATCAAAGCAGATAAGCAGTAGTCCTTGGGCATGTCTCATGTGGGTTCAATACATGTGAAAGTCTGTGGCAGAAATCCTAATGCATTTGAAAAGGTGGTAAGGTGCACAACACCTGCGTGCCATTTCTGTTTTAGGTCCTCAGAAGTCACTGATATTTATTAGTGAAGCCTGGTAGATCCTCATCCAGGTTAGTGTGATTTTCAAGGTTTGAAGTAGTTGAAAACTGTGGTTAACAACAGTCTTTGATGAAACTTTGTCCATTTTCACAGCAAGAATGGGGAAGGTCATAAAGGGATTATTACTCTTGCATTTAACTCAGATGAACTGTCAGCTTTAAGAGCTATTAATAACCATCATTAGCTTCTTACTTATCCTTCGCTAGGAATAGCCTCATACTTACCTGCCTTAAGGGAGAGTTGCTCTATTGTTTGTGAGGAGCAACAGACTCTGACCTTTTGGAGGCTATCCTGCTGACAGTGATGTTTCCTAACATATCCAACAGGCAGCCCTCAGCACTTGTAGTGGAAATGAGGCAGTGTGGTTAAGGTGTTGTTCTGCTGTCATTCTGCGGCAGGATATTGCTTGTTTGAGAGGTCTGTGCCCCACAGCTTGTTTCTATAAGTTAGTATGGTGAGTGAAATTCCCTAACCAAAGCTTTTACACTGCCCTTCTGAAAATATGACTAACATCTACACTGTGGCCACCTGTGCTGTGATTTCTGCAGATCTCATAGGCATGATCAGGTGTGAGTGGGAGATCATAGGGTGCTGGTACAAACCACTTTGGGCACACAATGGCCTGGATGTGGGAAGTGATACTGAGTTCCTCTCAAAGAGCGTATAGCAAAGATCACATATTGCAAAAGCAGATAAATTTTCCAGTCACATTTAAACATCACATTATTTCACTGACTGAAACTCTTCTGCGCCCTGTTCTAGAGCAACTGCCTTCTTGTGTCTAAGTGCTGTTAAGTAATTATTGGCTGTTATGTGCTCAGCAGAGATTTTATAACAATCTTGTACATCTTCACGTGCTGTCTTGGCGGTACCATGACTACCTGATTTGTCTGGATGAAACTGTGGTGAAAGAAGTATATTGTGCTGCATCTTGCTAAACTTCTGCCTTCTTAGCGATCTCTTCCATTCTGTAACAGGAAAGATACTGAAGCATATTAACTCATACAAGCCATGTCTTACTGGAAAAGCAGGACTTTAAAAAAAGGAAGAAAAAAGGCAATAGATGCATTTGCAAGAATTTTTAATCACAGATCAGTAGTGTGATATAGTGGTGAATGCATTGTATTGTTGAATCCAGTGTAGTGCCTAGAGAGGTATTACACTGTTCTTCAGGTACAGAAGCACTCTCTGACCTCTTCAGTTTACTTTTTGGACTTTGAGCTGTGTCTGTGGGCTCTAACTGGCTGAACTTGATTGAAATGTTTGTGCATTTGTAAGGCAGCACGTGTGGCTTTGCTTGTCCATTGAACCAAACCAGCCATTAAGCAAACAGGCTGTGAATCCCCTGAGAGTTTCTCCCCTTATTATTTTTATACTGAGATTTATATGTTTTTGTATAGCTATGTACTATATTAACATTGTCTGGCATCTTTCCTTTATTAAATTCACTTTGTATAGAAACTGGTTAACTACGGAAGAATTTTTGTCCAAGTATCCTGTAACTCTTCTGTGGGAAGCAGATGTCTCATTTGCTGTACTGCTTATAGGTTTAGCCTCAAAGTGGAAATTGCAAAATCCTTTCCTGACAGTATGAACTTTGGCTTTTACCTACCGTGTTTTTTGCCAGATCATAAAGTGCTTCTCGGAAAAAGTTGATCTCACACTTCCTGCTTTTTTGAAAAGTAGCAATTAGGCAAATGTTTGTTGACAGAACAGGCAACAGAAGCACATCATAGGAGCTGCAGGGAAACTGCTTCTTCTCCCATTATCTGTGACCAGGTAGGAACACTGACAATATCGTGGATGACGGAAGGCGGTTGTAACAGCCTTATGAATTGTAGCCCTGCAGTGATGCTGTCATGCTGAGAGCAAGGTTTCCTTGACTGATTTCTGTACTGACTTCTGACATCTTCGTGTGTGTTTACACAGGAGCATGTGCTGAATGTGCTCCCACTCAGGTTACCTTCAACAGGTAAACAGTCTAGTGAGGAGCACTACAGGAAAATTGCTTGAGAAGTTCCTTGACACCAGATCCCTCTCTTTCCTCCAGGAGTGCACATGTCTGTGCTTCAACACCACCCTTCTTGTGATCTCTCCCTTTGGTTATTAGGAGAGACC